CAAGACCCAGAGCTAGTCTTGTTGCCTCCTTTTATCCTGCCCCTGAGAACCCTGGCAGTAGCAGGATTTCAAGGTTACCTGAATTGTAAAGGACTCTTCAGACCTGAGTCATACCTCCTTCCTACCATGCACGGTGGAACCTCTGTGTCACTCTGAGATCAGCACCACTCACCCCTCGCTCCCATCTGTTGCTAGGGAGAATGGTTGTGGTGGAGGAAGATGTTGCTAGTCTTGAGCTATCTGAAAAGATAGGGTACCTCTGACTTGTGAGGGAAAGAGAAATTCCCTGGGAACATACAAACCATGTGTAGGGGATAGGGGTGAGCTAGTGTCATTCCTGTCCAAGGAATCTACTTCAACATTCACTAAGAGTTTCAAATCCCTTAGCTGGGAGTGGTGGCTCACGTCTGTAATCCCAGCACTTTGGAGGCCGAGTTCCCTTATCATCCTATCGCCATCCTCATTAAATTCTCAGGCATTTCTGAATCCACTTTTGTGCCTATCGCCTAGCTCAGTGTAGCTCCTGGAATCAGACTGTCACATCCTCAGATTAACACTAAATAAGCATTGTATGCATGGTATGGACAGCATTTAATTTTTCCTGCCCTTTCTTCAGTAGCAGAGTAATGCATTTTAGCAGATTCTAGTAGCTGCTGTTTCTTGAGAGTCCGTGGGAGTCTACAGTGGACTAACCCTGTGTTAATCACTCAAACACAGGATACACTTGGAAAGACAGGTCTTATTATCCCGAATTTACAAACCTCAATTTCGTTACATGTCACATGCAGATAATAACACCTACATGGCAGGGTGCCATGAACACGAGAGACATGTAAGAAGTATAGGCTTTGGGCCGGGCACAGTAGCTCAAGTCTGTGATCCCAGCACTTTGGGAGGCCGAGGTGGGCGGATCACCTGGGGTCAGGAGTTTGAGACCAGCCCGACCAACATGGAGAAACCCCATCTCTACTAAAAATACAAAATTAGCCAGGCGTTGTGGCGCGTGCCTGTAATCGCAGCTACTCAGGAGGCTGAGGCAGGAAAATCGCTTGAACTTGGGAGGCGGAGGTTGCAGTGAGCCAAGATTGCACCATTGCATTCCAGCCTGGGCAACAAGAGCAAAACTCCATCTCAAACAAACAAACAAACAAACAAACAAACAAAAAAGAGTACAGGCTTTGGAGCCAGTCCCTGGGAATGTGACCTCTGGCTCCACCACTAACTAGCTGCCTGACCCTAGGTGAGCTGCCTAATGTTCCAGGTTATTTCCTCATCTAAAATATGTAAAAATGGCAATACCGTATGGGGTTAAGATGAGGATTCAAGGAACCAATGCCTTTAAAGGGCCTGATACATGATGTTTGGCACACAGTACGCTCTTGAAAACAGCAATTTTCCAGCCTGGGCAACATGGCAAAACTGTGTCTCTACTGAAAATTAAAAATTTAGCCAAGTATGGTAGCCTGCACCTGTGGTCCCAGCTATTCAGGAGGTGGGAGAATTGTTTGAGCTGGGAAGGTCAAGGCTACAGTAAGCCATGATTGCACCACTGCATTCCAGTGTGGGCGACAGAGCCAGACCCTGTCCGAAAAAAATATATAACAATTTTAATGATGGTTATTGTATAAGTACTATAGAAGGATCAGGAAGAAGAAGAAGATTCAGCAAGGGAGAACGAGAAGTGGGCATCAAAAGGTCACGAAGCGAGAACTGTGAGAGAGGGATGCCATGGAAACGGAGGGACAAGATGCCAGGAAGGAGGGAGATTGTGCAAAAGGGCACTCAGAGATTGGTTTCTTCTGACAAGATGAAATAGCAATTTCTCATCTCTTAGCGACCAGTGAGAATGAAGGCAGAAAGGGAGAAAATAAGCCCTTAGCTTTAAATGAAGGCTATCCAACACAAAATTCTCTAAAAGCCTTTTGGGTAACTCTGTTTGTCCGATCTGAATGCGCAGGTATCCAATTAGGAAGAATACATATTTCTTGAATAAAATCAAAGCCAGTGTCACACAAAGTTTTTTTTTGTTTGTTTTGTTTTTTTTTTTTTTTTTTTTTTTTTTTTTTAAAAAGGAGGGGGTGAAAAAGGATGAGTCACAAAACAGGGTTTCAAAGCAGTGAAAGCAATGGTCTATACTAAACATCCAAGCTCACTGCAGTGAAAGGGAAGGTAGTGGTATGGATAGGATTTATTCATTTTTCTTTTTATTTCTCTACTCCCCCTGGTAATAGAAAGAAATAACAGCATAATCTGTGTCTTTGGACAAATCATTCAACAAGTGTTTATAGAGTAAAACTGAAAACGTGAGCAGGAAATGGAACAATATTCGAATCTGGACTAGATGAGAAGGGTAGATGTCACCCAGGAGTAGATTTAGGGAGGAATTAGGGGTTAAACCCTATGCAAGCTGGAGAATGTTGGGGGCCTCTGTGGCTTTGGGGCCTGAGTGGAGCTGCCTCCTGTCTGGGGGTGCACAAGAGGACTCTTTTCGCTCTGGAGAAACTGAGATTGCTGACAGGGGTCCAGAGATGCTCCAGAAGGATGCGAGGAGTGGCTCTCTTGAGCCTTTGCTCCTGACTCAGTTTTTGGCTAAAGGATCAGAAACAGATACCTGGCGCGGTGGCTCATGCCTGTAATCCCAGCACTTTGGGAGGCCAAGGTGGTTGGATTACCTGAGGTTAGGAGTTCAAGACCAGCCTGGCCAACATGGCGATACCCCGTCTCCACTAAAAATACAAAAATTAGCCAGGCACAGTGGCATTTACCTATAATCCCAGCTACTTGGGAGGCTGAGGCAGGAGAATCGCTTGAATCTGGGAGGTGGAGGCTGCGGTGAGCCGAGATTGCACCACTGCACTCCAGCCTGGGTGACAGAGTGAGACTCTGTCTTAAAAAATAAAAATTAAAAAAAAAAAAAAAATGGGAGGGGGATCAGTGGCAGAAGGGCCCTCCCAGTCTCCTTATGGTCATGAGGGTAAAGGAGGCTGAGGCTTAAGGCAAACACTGAATGTTGGGGGAGGAGGGAAGGGAGACTGGGCAGAGCACAGGAGACTGAGCCTCCACACCCTCCACCAGCAGCTGGGTGTGTCTCCTGGGGTGGCAGGTCAGATGGCGCGGTCATGAGTGGAGCACAGGCAATAAACCAGGGAGTAGCCAAGAGGCTCTTTCTGGAAAGAGAAGCACTTAAAGCCAGGTTCTTGGTATGTCAGCCCAGGGAAGACTTCTTGTAGTGCCTGGCTACCACTCCTTCCTTGGGGCCTCAGCCTGAACCCCCTTTGTCCCTAGTGAGTGGACCAACAACTGCCAACATAATCAGAACCCCAACAGCCCTCCCTGGGGCCTTCAACCTGAGGCATTTCTGGTACAACACAACCCAGAGACCGGTTTGAAACCCTAGGATCTATGATGTCTCCCAGGCTCCCCTTCTCAGTCAATGTAGTTATGAATTGACTGATCACAGCACTCTCTCCTCTCCCCTGCCCATCCAGCCCTGTGCTTCTCTCCCACACAGCAGCTCTCACTGCTGCAAAGTCTATCCTCTCAGCTCAGAGGAGCCCCTATTTCTGGCTAGACAGACTCCCCAAGGGCTCCAAATCTGCATATTCATTTCATACTTGACCCCAACCTCGCCTTCAGTGCAATCATCTCCACCCCACTCCCTAGCCTTGTCCTGCTCACAAAAATAGGGACCTAGGCACCTACAAAAAACATAGGGACCTTTGCAGCCTGAGGTCACACACAAGTCCTCTTTTATCACCCTCCAGGATGAGACAAGGAGGTGGTCCCTCTTTTCTCTCTCCCTCTGCCGTGAATGTCCTTCTCTGCTCACATAACGCTCAGGGCTTCCTGGCTTTCTGATCCCCATGTTCCTTCACATGCCCCAGCAAATAAATTGCTTTTTGTGCCTCCCAAGCTAACTTGGAGTCCGTGGGCTGCCGGGGTCCTCTAGCGCATAGCTTCAGAGTTTACAGGGGGAGGGTCTGGTGCCATCAAGAGCTAAGCCTGCTAATGCTGAGCTACCATGAGTGGCTGCTCTCTTCCTTAATTGGGGAGGGGGCAGAAGGTGGTGTCAGCCCACAGGAGAGACTCCTTGTTGTGACAAGGACGTTGTCCAGAGGCAGCCACAGCAACAACGATCTAAGGAATCTGCCCAGACGAAGAACTGCCCATCCCCAAAGTGAACAGAAATGAGCCCCTGATATCCCCATATTGGGCTATTATCTTAGCACCAGACTCCCCCATCCCCCATCAGACTCCTGGGTATGTCAGAGAAGAAAGCATTGGGGTTTTGTCAACAAGTGGGTGTCAGGAGTTGGCTCTTTGAGTGAAGGGACAGGTTGGTTGTGGTAAGGGAGCTCTGTCCTTTAACCTTTGGGAAATATCTCAGCCCATTTCTTATTTTTTTCCTCATCTGCAAAATGAGGTTGATTAAAAACCCCACCTCAGAGTACAATCCCCCTTTATAGTTTTTTACTGTATTTTCTTTTTTTTACTTCCTAAAATAACAGCACAGACACATTAAGATAGATGCTGATATATTTATTTATTGACATAGAAGCTCACAACATATATTGTCTGGTGAAAAAATACAGAGTATAGAACAGCACTTATATTTCATCACTTTTATGTATACATATATCTATCTGGGTACATAGGTATAGGAACATATCTAGAAGGGCACTCACCAAAGGGTTGACAATAAGGGTGGAGAGATTTGGGTAGTTTGTACTTCACTTTTTGTACTTTTTTATAGTTCAAAGATTTAACAATAATTTATACCACTTTCACAAAGAGAATAAAGCTGTCAAGGGAATGGGCACACACAAAAAACAGACCCTTAGGCTGCAAGGAGAAGGAGCAAGGACAGAGGTCAGGCTATCTCCCTCCAATGTGCTATTATCCAAGACCCTTTCTCCTCCACCCCAAAAGATAGCCGCTTTGTGGATTAATTCATGCAGTTAGAAGCGGAAGCCCCACCCCACCCCCGCCCCTCCCCTCACCCCCACCCCACCCCACCCCAGTTTTCCCAGTGCTGGATGCTGAATATAGGTAAGGGTTTACTGAAACTTGGGGGCTGGTCCCTTACAGAAGCTGAGAGAAGATATTGTATCGGCCAAGGGCCCCTCTGGATCGCTCCATCTCGGTATGGGTCAGCTCCTGCAGGGTGATGATCAAATTCTCAAAAACCTGGGCCCTGTCACTCTCATTGTCACAGGTTTCTTTGGAGTGGCCCTCCTCACCACAATAGGAACAGCGGAGAATGTGTTTTCGCTTCCTGGCTCTACGCATCTGCATCTCCCCAGGACCATTATTCTTAAAGCCAGAACCACCACTGGTGGAAGGAAACTGAGCCCTGGAAGTTTGGGGGGAATCAATGACCAGCACTTCATCCTGAGGTCTGGCCCTGTTTCTGAGGGAAGGGGCACCCCAGGATGGAAGTGGAGGGTCCTGAGACTCCACCAGGATCACATCCTCATCAGAGTCGTCGTCGAGGGTATCATCAATCTCTATCACATTGCAGTCAGCACTGCCCATTAATATTGGCGGGGAGCCCTGAAATGCCACGGGGCTGACTGCCCTCTCCACCATTGACTCAGACCTTTTGGACCGCTTACGATTAACAGCATCATCATCATCCCAATCGTCTTCCTCCCTCACCATTCTGATTAACTCCAGGAAAGTGGGAAGCTGATCCTGCTCATTTGCATACATCCTGAGAAGCTCTTTAAGTCTGAGGCGGAGGTCCCTACTAAGGTCAGCGCCTAAAAGGAACTGCTGCAAGCGAATCTGGTTTGCATCTTTCTCAGCTATGATGCCTGCCTGAATAGCATTCTGGAGCTGCACCTCTAAACGGATCACATAAAGGTAGGTTTTCTCCCCTTGTGCCTGCAGGGTGTTAAAAAATTTACCATGGGCAGTCATACTGCTTTCAGACTCCCCAAACACCAATTTCATGGCTCGCAAGAAATCTGCCACATTTAGGTTAGGGTTGGTCGCCTGAAGCACACGCATGACCTCCCGGGCAGGGCCCCTAAGGGTTTTCATCAAGCGCTGGAGCTTCTCCTCCTCAGACATATTCCAATCTGGCAGGACCTCATTGACTTGGGTCAGCCAGCTTTCAAAGGTTTCTTCCCCCTGGGCTGGCACCATCCTCCCCGAAAACAACTTCATATTTCTCTCTGCCATGCTGGCCATTATTGGACTGAGACTCCTCCCCAGGGACCTCATCATGGAATAGAGCCAAGGCGGCAAGGGTGAGTTCTGCCGCCGGCTTTTACCCACACGTGCAATGATGCTAGCCATGACTGACAGCGAGAGGGTATCTGAATATTACAAGGGGCCCAGGCTTTTTAGAAAAGCGTAATCTGCAGGTGGGAGAGGAGAGGAGGCGGCTCGGTCTTCCTATCTCAGCAGGGGCTGTAAAAGAGAAGGGGGGGCTGTTAATAAAGGAGCGGGCTGCAGCTGCATTCTCCCTACCTGAATATCCTGTAGTACATTTTATATTTGCCCACTACCCTAAAAATAATCCCGCAAGAGATTGGCACTTACAACCTCCCAGAGCTACCTGATGCCTGTGTGCTATCAAGGTGCTTTTTGCAGACACATCCGTCCCTCCCATCAGTCCTCTAAGAGGGATGGCAACTGTTGCTCCAAACAGTGTCTGGAGCTGATATTGGGCTCTCCAAATAGAGTACAATGATCACAGTTTGTGGAAATAAAATAAGATCTGGTCTCAACCACACCCCCTTCTCAAAGTGCTCCCCCATCCCTCTCGTTATTTCTCAGATTCTTACACGAGCTCAGAAACAAGAGCACACCTTTATTTCCAGTCTCCAACCAGTGCTCTCCGAGAGAAAGCTCGTCTGGGGGGGAGGTCAACCTCTGTCCACAGGGGGTGGCAGATCCGGGTCCTGGAGGTTTCAAGATTGCGCCACAGCGGAGAAGGCCAGAGAAGGGGGGGGTTAGAAGCAGCTTAAACCGTCATCCTGCTACCCACCGCCTCCGCTGTTGCCAGGCGGAAAATTCTCTGCCCCCTCCTGAATATAAGCCAGAGACCAGCCCCCCCCCCCCCCCCAAGCATTACATTTCCCCCTGGAAACCGTCGTCAGCCTACCAGCTCTGCAATCAGCTGTACAGAATTCAAGTTCAGATGCGGCTTTGATGGCCTGCCACGGAGAAAAGGAATAAGAGTTGGACACACCCACTCACATATTCCTCCCAGAAACAGATGAGGAGATGCAAAGGAGGCTCCAGGCAAACAGCTTGAGATTCCTCCCCCCACTACTCCTCGCGTCTCCCCCCGCCCCCAAATCCTACCCAGTCCGCAGTATCCAGGTGAACCCCACCTCCTCCCTCAGCGCAGCCTGCCCGAGAGCGCTTCTACCCCTGCCTCGCAGTCACCGATTCTCCAGGCGGGGAGCCGCCCGGTACTGGTGGGTCTTCCCCGACCCCTCTCCGCGCCGGGCTATCGCTCCCTGCTTCTTTACCTGTGCCCCGCTGGTGGACAGCTAATGCTCCCGCGTCGCCAGCTGTGGATTCCGCCTTCTGGTCTCCTCCGCCCTGCAGGGGGAAAGAACCGGAGCCTCCTCGGCCGCTAAGCGACCCGGGGCTGCTCAAAGGAGCTGCTTCGCAGGGCTGCCCAACCAGGGGTAGCCGAGACGAGGCAGCGCGGTTCCTAAGGCAGCGGCGGCAGCTTTTATCTCTGCGGCTGAGACAAAAGAGCGTGACGAGTGGTCTAGTGCGGCCAATCAGCGAAGCGCGGGGGCGGACGGCCCGCACAGCCTTGGGCAGGGATGAGTGTTCCGGGCGGGAGGGCGGGCAGGCAGGCGGAGGCGGGAGGGCACAGCAGGCCCGCGGAATCTCAAGTGCCCCTTGATTAGACCGATGGAGGCAATCTTCCTGTTACCCGGCAATTTGCTACTCTTTCTTTCTCGCCCAACCCTTCCCTTCTACCGGGGCTCAGCTCTGCATCTTAGGCCAGATGCATTAAACACAAAGTGGGTCCAAAATCAAGTAAATAATAAAAGTTCTTCGCTTTGGTATAGGGGAAAGAGGGAGAAGAGGGGAAGGGGTGGGAAGAGCATTAGCCCTTGCATTGTGCAAATAGGCTTTACAGACATCTCTTTTATTGTGAAGGAAGTGGCAGTATGTCCATTTAACAGAGAGGGCAGCTGGAGCACCAAGGCTCTCAACCAATACCCATTCGAGTATGGGTGCAAGACATCAGAGTCATTTGGGAGAGCTTGTCAGAAATGGAGGCTTCTGGGCCTCAACTCTGGTGGATTCAGATTGACTAGGCCTAGGGGTTGCGGTGTGGTTTTGTATTTAGTATTTTTTTAAACTGCATTTTAACTAGCGCTGCGGTTGGTTCTGAGGTGTAGTGAGGTTTGTGAATAAGTAAATGAGTCTGTCTCAAATATCTGTCCACAGTTATCTGTGATGAAATGCAACTCCAGAGCAGATGTGCCTACCTGGAATCCATGATCTTCCTGAAATTTTAGGCAAACATTTTGGACTCTGTGTGAGGCTAAATAATGTCCCCCCACCCCCAATATATCAAGCCCTAATCCCTGAAAGCTGTAAATGTTACCTTATGAGGTAAAACGGTCTTTGCAGGTGTGATTAAGTTAAGGCTTTTGACTTGAATTTCCAGGCAGGCTGAAATCCAAATCCCAAGTGTCCTTATAAGCGAGGCAGAGGGAGAGCCGGTGCACCAAGAAGAGAAGGCAATGACCAGAGATTAGTGATGAAGTCATAAGCAAGGGAATGCTAGCAGTCACCAGAACCTGGAAGAGGCAAGGAATAGAGCACAGTCCTACTGACACCTTGAATTCAGCCCAGAGAAACCGATGTTAAGCTTCTGGCTTGTAGAACTGTGAGAAATTAAACTTCTCTTGTTTTAAGCCACCAAGTTTGTGATACTTTATTATGGTGCTGTCTTTGTTTGGGCTGCTATAGCAAAATACCACAGACTGGGTGGTTTATAAACAACAGAAATATATTGCTCACAGTTCTGGTGGTTGGGAAGTACAAGTTCAAGGTGCCAGCAAGGTTGGTTTCTCCTGAGGCTTCTCTTCTTGGCTTGCACATGGCTGCCCTCTTGCTGAATCTTTTCATAGCCATCCTCTCTGTGCATATGTGCCCCTGGGGTCTCTCAGTGTGTCCAAATTTCCTCTTCTGATGAGGACACAAGTCAGATTGGAGCCTACCCTGAGGGCCTCATTTTTCCCTTAATTACCTCTTTAAAGGCCCTATCTTTAAATACAGTCACGCTCTACAGTACCTGAGGGGTTAGGACTACAACATATGAATTTGGGGGAACATAGTTCAGCCTGCAGCACTCCATTTTCCCTTACTTCTGGTTCTGGGAAAGCAAGTCTTCCTTCCCTCATGTAAAGTGTGGTTAAGAGACTCCTGTAGGGACTTTGGGGAGGTCAAGACCAAGTGCACTTGGACCGTCCAAGTGCAAAGGAGTTGCTTATTCTTGACTCCTGATGCTTGGAAGTGAGTGAACAGTCTGATACCTTTCAGCTGCTATTAGGTTCAGCTTCAGCCTGCTAAAGTACTTCTGCTCCTTTCTGCCTTCTTATTTCCAACCTCAATACCTAGAATTCCTTGGAGTAAACAATCTACATCTAAAGACAAAGCATCTTCATCTCAGAGGCATGACCTTTCTCTTGTGGATGGAACACTGGAAGGGTGATAATGGTGGGTGGAGGATTTTGGAGGTGTAGAGAAGGCAGGTTGCTTACTGCACACAGTGGGGGGTGATGCTGGCAATAGCTTAGGGCTATTCTTCAGACTCTTGCTTCTGCTCCCCAGTGCTACATCCTCTGACTCTGGCCTCTAAACAGAATCTTGTTCTGCATTTAAATTGGCTTCATCGCCAAATCAGGTAATCTGTAGTTGGACCTGGTGACATCAAAAAGGACAAAGACTGTATCTCAGAGCTGTGTAAAAAATTTTGATTGTGTAAAGGTGCCTGGGTTGGGTCATCAGAACCAAGCGAAGTCTCTTCATACAGGGCTTGGAGGGGCATTTGATAAACAGGCTCCAGTTGGATACGGAGCATACCTTATCTCTGGCCTCATATTATAGGAGAGGGGTTGTGGGTAAGGGGACTTCCAATTACAAGGATTCTAGCTCTCGTGGTTCTAAGGAGGCCACATTTCATTTTCCAATTGCCAAAAAAAAAAAAAAAAAAACCAAACCAAACAAACAAAAAAACCTTAAAATCTGGAAGTTTCAGAGCCAATGCCTTCAGCTGAAAGAATAATAATGATAACTACCTTTAGTTGCCTTTGACCTCCATACCAGGAATTTTCCATCCTTATCTCATGTAAGTGCATCATCAATCCTATTCAGATAGGCATTGTTATTTCACAAGGTTTCTGAGAGCATATGGGCATTTCAAACTTGGGCTTCGGCTCAGGCATATCAAAGACTGGATGGGGAGATGCTGCACATATTAACCTGGCATTCTAAGGGCTGCGTCACTCACAAAAGTTTTGAAAAGGAGGATAAAATAGTTATTTTTATACAAACAAAACAGAGAGTTTGTAACCAGCAAACCAAGCTAATGGAAAATTTGAAGTATGTACTTCAGGAGGAACATGACCTTAAAATAAATAAATACAGGAAGGAATGAAGAGCAAAGAAAGTGGTAGTATGTGGGCAATGTAAGAGAACATTGGCAGAATAAGAAATCAGAAAAACATCTATTTTCCTTTTGCAAAAAATAAACTTAAAGTATCATAAAATCAGAAAAAACATCAGGAGGGGCTTAAATGGATTTTGACATCTCTAAGAGCCTGGTGTCATATTGGAAGTTATGTAGCTGTTTATTAAATTTACATTCCGATAAGGTAATTATATATCTAGTAATTAATAGCATGTGACTATTAAAATAATAGCAACAGGATGTACATTTCCAAGTTATTAATAGTAGGAAGGGGGAAAAGTTGAAAAATCAACACAAAATTCTCGATTTTTTTAAAATCAAGAAAAAAATATAAATAGGATGAATAAAAGCAAAAACTGAAATTATAGCTTTAAACCCAAATGTATGAATGCTTTCATTAAATGTTTGTGATCCACAACATCAAAAAACCCAAGTTATCCCATTTAAAAGTGGGCAAAGGATCTGAATAGACATTTCTCAAACAGACATGTAAATGGCCAATAAACATATGAAAAATGCTCAACTATTCATCAGGGAAATGCAAATCAAAACCACAGTGACCCCAGTTAGCATGGCTATTATCAAAAGACAAAAATTAACAAATTCTGGCAAGAATGCAGAGAAAAGAAAACTCTTATACGCTGTTGCTGGGAATGTAAATTATTACATTCACTATGGAGAGCAGTTTGGAGGTTCCTCAGAAAATGAAAAACAGCCATCATACCATCCAGAAATCATATGATATATAGCCAAAGGCAATGAAATCAGTATATCAAATTAATACCTGCACCCCCAGGTTTATTGCAGCACTATTCACAATAGCCAAGATATGGAATCAAACTAAATGTCCATCAATGGATGAATGGATAAAGAAAATGGAGTAGAGATATACATGCAATGGAATACTATTCAGCCATGAAAAAGAATAAAATCCTATCATTTGCAGCAACATATATGGAACTAGAAGTCATTATGTTAACTGAAATAAGCCAGGCACAGAAAGATAAAAATTGCATGTTCTCACTTATCTGTGGGAGCTAAAAAGTGCATGTCACAGAGGTAGAGAGTAGAGTGATTGTTATCAGAGGCTGGGAAGGGTGTTTGTGGTGGGGGGGGTGAAGGGAGAGTAGTTAATGGATTAGAGGAAATAATAAGTTATAATGTTCAATAGAACCATAGGGTGACTATAGATAAAAACAATATGTTGTATAGTTCAAAATAGCTAGAAGAGAAGATGTGAAATGTTCCCAACACAAAGAAATGACAAATGTTCAAGGTGATAGCTATCCTAATTACCCTAGATACATATTGTATTCATGTATCAAAAGATCCCATGTATCCCATAAATATGTACAGATAGTATGTATCAATAAAAGGATTTTTAAAATTACAAAACATAAACAATTTTATGAGCTAAATGCTCAAGTTAAAAAATATCATCAAATGGGATTAATAAATATAACTACATGCTGTTGAAAAGAGACAAATCCAAAATATAAGGGTACAGGTAGGTTGATAGTAAAAACATGGAGACAGATAAATCATGCAAATAATATATAACAGAAAACTTGTAGAGCTATATTCATAGCAGACACAATATACTTAAAAGTGATAAGCATTATGAGAGATTAGAAGATTATTTCATTATGATAAAATTTTCAATTCACCAGAAAGTTTGGCAAATTTGAATGAGTATGCACCAATAACAAAACCTTGAAATATATAAAGAAAAAATTAATTTACTAAAGGAGAAATAAGCAAATATGAAACTAGAATCAGAAGTGTTACCACACCTCTCTCAGTAGTTGATCAAGGAGACAAAAAAAAAAAAGTCTCTAAGGATATAGAATTTTTGAACAATATTATTAATAACAAACTAATAGTCAGTGTATACAACACTGGAGACAACAACTACAGAACACACATACAAAACATTCATAATATTTGACCATATGTTAGGCCAGAAAGCAGGCGTCAACAAATTTCAAAGAATTAAATCTGACTGCAATGCAAGTAAGTAACAAACCAATAATAAAAAGATAACTAGAAAAATGTCAGTATGTT